AGAAGCTATTAGTAACAAGTGCCACGCTAGTAGTAACAAGTGCCTTATTAGTAGTAACAAGAAGCTATTAGTAACAAGTGCCATGCTCATCGTTCCACCTCGTGGAGGCATCTCAGCCCAGAGCTCGCCACATAGATCGCGGCCAATTAGGCTATTGATCGGAGTGGGAAAGGCACGGAGCCTTGGTCGGAAAGTGATCCCGCTGACGAACGGTGTTCGTTTCAGCCTTTCTGCTGACAATTCCCCGCGCTAACTGGAAACAAGAATGTTTCTAAGCCTCCCTTTTAATTACCTAATAGCAATGGCCTCCAACCTAAGAGCGAATGTTTTCAAGCATCCTTTTAAATTCCTTCTTTGAGCTTAGTGTTTTCAAGATTTCATTTGCCCCTCACACCTTCACACTAGACCCTCACTGTGATCAGATTGAAAACTAGTCTCTTTTCCTGTTTGATTTATATACTTTCAAAAAAAAGCATCTGTTTCACTTATCAAGTTCGCAATGATGCTTAGATGTATAATATGCTCTCGCTAGGTACCAGTTGATTTTTCGATCGAATCGCCCCTTCCTCACCTTCTCTTGAGGGACACCCCCTGCAAGTAAAATTGGTCCCGGCAGTAGCAAATACTTAGAAAAACGAGGCGTTCTTGTTTGTAGCCCAATGATTTCTAAGCACGCGTCTTCTTGTTTCAAAAAACACAACGAACGAACCCTGGCATCCCAAACCATTTGTTAAGTTTAGGTTTCCCTAAAAATTGAGGAACCAAATCATTAGTGCGAGCGCTTTTTCAAGGAAGCTCCCCCCGCCCTCAGGTGGGAGCGTCCTTGAAGAAGCGTGAGCCCTGCGTCCAGTAGGTAGTAGCTTAAGTAGTTAGTAGCTTGCTCTCTTACTCGCCTGCCGCCTACTTAATGAAGTAAGGGAAGGGCCATGGGCTAAAGACAAAAATTGAGACACGTTGAAAAGACCCTCACCTCGGAACACTCTCTCTCTCTGCACTCTGAGACGTCTCAGATCCCAACCAAGATGGCGGAGCAGCGTGTCCAACACGGATGCCATTCTCTCGCCTCAGTCCACGAGGAAACTTCTTGTTACTACTAGTAACAAGTGCCACGCTAGTAGTAACAAGTGCCTTACTAGTAGCAAAAAAAAGCTATTAGAATTAACATAAAACTAAATTAACTAATAGCTTCTTACTTACTAGTAAGGCACTTGTTACTAGAAGCGTGGCACTTGTTTCTAATAGCTTCTTAGTTACTACTAGTAAGGCACTTGTTACTACTAGCGAGGCACTTGTAATTACTAGCAAAAAAATCCATTCTCTCGCCTCAGTCCACGAGGAAACAGCAACTTCAGCCCCCACCCAGTGCTCCACCCTACTATCGATGGCCTCCACAGCAAAAACTCTCGCAACTCAATAGCGAAAAAAACAGCACAAACTCTGACAGGTTGCAATAAGGTACCACGGAGTGGCTGCCCATCCTCTGTCAAGTCCTTGCGCCACAATTCAACTCGATTCTGCGGAGATTGAACATCTGCAGAATTCCCTGTCGCAATTCCATATCCGAGCTCAGCGTGGCGTGAAAAGTCACATCCCCACAAGTTGTTGCTGTTGTGACATGTTCCTGCTGTTGGCATTGTGGCGCGTCCTTGCGCCCCCACTGCTGCCCTTTTTGGTACTTGCTTGGTACAAAGCACTTCGCCATTGACGTTGGTCGTTGCCAGGTTATTCTTGTACATTTTTGCTCTCGGTTGTGAGTTATAGTGCTGTTGCGATTGTGGTCTATTGATGTTCTCATTTTGCTCGTATTTTGCTCTTGTCACTGGACAATGCTGTTGCTGCTGCTTTTATTGGCGGAGTTGCTTCGTGTGGCGATGGCTGGCATTGTCGTTGGTATGTCTGTATGCCATAACATGTTATCTTTACTCTTGTGCCAACTCTTGTACTATATGGTACTTACTATGGTGGACAGTGGAGACCATTGCTTATAGGGTGGAAGCCACAGCCTCTAGGCCGGAGGCCATCGCTGTTGGGATGGAGGCCATCGCTGTTGGGATGGAGG